TTGATTATTAATATAGTCCTTCCCCCGCACTGTAACAAAGTGGAGATAGAGACATTGATTTTTTTCACAGTCATTTTGTTTGTTTTGATTTTTTTGGTTGGTTTTCTCCCTCTTTTTTAGCACTCCTACCAGCAGCAGAAACAGAAAGGGTATGGGGAAATCATGTTGTCTTATTATTATGAGTGATGGTGTCATTAGCCTAATCCTGGACCTGTCTTGCTGCTTTGTTAGCATGTTTGTGGTGTGCCTTGACAATTTGATTAGCAGCTTTGGTTGTGGAGGCATTGCACTGCTTAATCAAATCTGTCAATAAACGCATGGCAACTAAAGACTGCCTTCTGATGTTGACTCAGAAAAAAAATAAAACAAGCTGATAAACTAAGCGATGACCACTGAGATGCAATTTCCTTTCTGTACAAACACTTGATCAATGTCCCTTTAACCAAACTCTACCCGTCAAGTTTGACAACTTATCAAAATCACAAATAAATATCTTATTGTAATATTTGAATATATCTCAACGAAATGACTGATTATTATCAAAATTTCCAGATTTTTAGATGTATTACAATAGTCTTCAACAAAAGTGGCTTAGCTGGTTAAATTAAACTTTGTAAAGAAATCTACTTGTTTTTAAATGTTTGAATGGACAGGCTCCTCAAGTGCATTGTGAGCTTTTGGTTCCTCTTATGTCTACAGGCTCAGTAACTCGTGGARCAAACAGTGGGAACTGTAACGTTCCTTTTTTTTAAACAGCTATGGGTCAAACAGCTTTTTCTGCTCGAGGGATTAACATGCGGAATTCCCTACCTGCTGATTTAAAACTGATGTCTGACTGGAACCATTTTAGATTAGAACTGAAGCATTTCTTGAAGGAAAATCAGCTTTGTAGTCATGAATAACTGAACTGTCACTTTTAATGATTTGTTTTTAAGTTGGTTTTATGAGCTTTTTTGGTGAGGTTTAATATTTTGATGTTTTTATTTGTTAACTGTATTTTACACTTTTATTTCATGTTGCTAAAAGCCCATCTAGGGAGGGACATTGCAAATTAGCGCTGGCTATAAATGTTGTAGTGTATAGTATTGTTAATACTTGACACTTGTCCCTATTCAAATAAACAATAAATGAAATGAAATGACATGTAAATGTTCATATGAATAAATACCCAACACTTATATATTCATGATCCTAGATTGAGTTTAATTCTGCTATTTGTTGTGAGTTCACTCACTTTGTTCCTTGATCTTTRTCTGTTTCTTTCCCAGAGTCCAGTTTTGCTTAAGGTTATGTATCCAGAATCTCATGCTCTGGGTTAGATTTTCACTTAGACATTTAGATTTTCTGCCTAAACAACCTATTTGTTTAATTCTTACATTTTTTGTTGCATCTGACACTCAACTCACAAAACAAGCGTCAGCTTTTTGAGTTAACAATTCAAGATGGTCAGCACAGCTAATCAATCTCATCAAATATAAAAAAATGGTTATAACTTTSTTGACTTTACAAATATTGMGCTACACTTTGGTGTGGTAGGAGTAGGGCTGGGCAATAAAAYAATAACAATGTATGTCATGACAGACATGTGATCAATATCAATAGAAAATATGTCTGATAGAACGTTGATCATTTCACTGAACTCCAATCCAGAACCACACAGCATTCTGGGGGATGTAGGCAGAGAAAAGGCTTTAGCTACTTAGCCTCTTACAGCCCAGCTAAGTAAAGTCAGTGGCACCAACTAACTCACTGACTTTTTGGTGAACTAGCGACAACCTATTGAGTAACGTGCAGTAGCTGTTCCATGTTTCGCCACTGTTCCTCAAAACTGCTTAAAGATAAAAAGGAAACGATGTGGAGTAAAAGGAGAAAATGAGTGCAACAGTCTGAGAGGAAACTTGTGAATAAAAGAGGAAAGGTCACGTCACCAATTCGGCTGTGTTAATCAACACTTTTTTATCCTGGTCCTTATTTCAAACAGGTAAAACAAACGCTTAAGTCTTGATACATTTTTCAGCCAAAGTGCCCAGCTGTAGACAGGAGTAGAGACTAATTCACATATTATCCAAGGTCATTGCTTCAAATTTTGAAAATAACTGTTGACGTCARCTGTGTCTGTTAGGAAATGATCTTATGCACTGACAGATTTTCATGAAACTCTCATAAAGAAAGGAACGTACACAACGTCTTTTGCTGATTACCTTTTAGAGACAAACTTATCAAGGATAAAAATGCGCATAACTCAGTAAATTGCACTGATATTGAGCTCAAATTTGATGTGGTAGTTAAGAGTCATATTCCACACATAATATGAAGACCAAACAACCACACTAGACCTGACAATATTGCATGAAACTGTGCACAATGTCATTTCCAAGATTTGACCAAAACAGTTATAACTCCATCATTTCTCAACAAGGAAAGACGTGTCAGCTTCATTTAATGTGAAGGAAATTACTGCAACAGCACCAAACCTAAATAAATTATTGTACTGTATCATATCAGTTGTACCATGTTRTGTAAGTTATGCATGGCCTGCAGTGGACTGGTCATCAGTGCCACAGTTTTATTATCCTGAGGCTGCAGGTTTAAGTCCAAGTTATCTCAGGAAGGGCATCTGACTTCAAAAAARTTCAAATTTTTATTTCATATGAKTTTRCTAAGTGTGGCGACCTTTGCAGAAGGGAGCAGCCAAAAGAAAAATAACATATTTTATGGAAATGTGTGTATGGTATTATGTGATATGTTAATTGTATTGTATCCAAAAAACAGATTATCTAATTAACCAGAACAAATTAGAAAAGAAAGCTAGTGCATAGGCTACAGATTAGATTCACTCATTGCAGCATGTGATCGTGTTAGCAGGGYTCAATATTGCATCAAATGTTGAACCGAACTCTTTTTACTTTCTTTGTTCTATTAAAAAAAACAACAAATATCAATTAATACGACATATAAATTCCCACAACAAACTGACGCAGAAATATTTCCCTCTTGTTTGTACTGTTCATTCTCCATGCTCCTTGATCCTCTCTGAAGTCTCTGCTCTTTTTCCTCGTCTTCCCCACTTGTACATTAAGTTGTCAATTATTTATTCATCTCACCACTCAATAAAAGTGTCCTAATTGTCCAAGCTTCTCTCTGGTGTGCCTTGTCATGCTCCTTCTGAAGCACTCTTTTCCACTATTTCCACTTCACCTAATGTCCCCTTGTTTTTTTTTTCTCTGACTCTTTTTCTCCTTCCTCTCCCTTTTTTTTCAGCTTCTCTAGCATCATATTTCTGCCTCTCTACTTAGCTATCAATCCCAACCCCGTGTTCATTTTTTTTTTCCTTCTCCAACACTCTCACCCACCTCTTGCTCATACGTCTGGCTGCTGCTGGCCTTTTTTCATTCCATTAAAGTCTGAGTGTTGCTTTTATTGTTACCACTAATAATCAAGGCCCTAACTCGCTGTCATGGACACAATTATCAAAAGGTGCCATAAGTCATCTCTATCTGTGGCAATCACCAGCCTTATTACTATGATTTGAGAGAAAAAATGTATCTGATTGGTGGTGAGTGTTCAGACAGCATAAGGATGGATGGATGGATGGATGGATGGATGGATGGATGGATGGATGGATGGATGGATGGATGGATGGATGGATGGATGGATGAAGGAGTTGGAAGACAGTAGAAGGAGACAGAAGATTTTCATGTCTGTCTGTGTGTGTGAGTGGGTGCTTGGTGGGAAAGCATTTGGCTGGTTGGTTGGAAGGTGTGTGTGTGTGTGTGTGTGTGTGTGTGTGTGTGTGTGTGTGTGTGTGTGTG